TTTAGTTATTGTTTTTGTAGCAGTTATAGTGTCAGTGAGATAGCGCCTTACTGTTGCCACTGTTATGTATTTATTTATTTTCTGCAGGAAGTGTCTGTGGAACCTTTTATAGCTCTTACTGAGGAGGAAGAGGCTGAGGTTGATTGGGCATTCCATGCTAATCGGTAAAATCTGATGAATCAATTCTTTACTACTTCATTATTGTCAGTTCTATATGGGTTTGATGTTTATTCCTGCAGGCGGACAGTCTTGGTCACTCATAGAAACTCAAATATTGACATCACTGCACAACTTTTTCAGTGCCTTACACCTGGCGCATGGTTGAATGATGAGGTGATTCTTTCAGGGGTTGTTTTTTTTCAAATAGGGATGTAATAGTTTGGTTAGTTAGTTGATTTCTAATGGTTAATCATTATAACTGGGGATTTGCCATGCTGTTTATGAGGTTTCATGTATGGTCATTGTTCTTATGTAGGTTATCAATTTGTACCTTGAGTTGCTGAAAGAAAGGGAAAATAGAGAGCCAGAGAAGTTTCTTAAATGCCATTTTTTCAACTCATTCTTTTACAAAAAGGTTTGTTTCGTTCTTGTTTCTTATGAAACATAATCAGCACGGTTTCAGGTATACTGGAACAACTGCTTGGTGTGCGTTGGTTTCTTGAGATTCTTGCTTTAGGTGCGCATTGCCATTTTTCGAAAATGTTTTTTTCTCAGCTTTCATATTATCACTCTATTAGTACACAAACTTGCTTATTAGACATGGCATGCCTTCATACTTTTTGTTGATACCTTAAATTGTTGGATTTTCTGATGCTTCTTAATTATGGCGGCATAGCTGTTAAATTCGTATAATTTTCTTCATAATCTTTATTTAATTGAGTAATTTTGACAGTACTACTTGTTTTCTCAAAATTTTCATTTTCAGTTGGTAGATGGGGAGAGTGGCTATAATTATAGAGCTGTCAAGAGATGGACTTCTGAGAGAAAGTTGGGATACCAGCTCCTTGAGTGTGACAAAGTGAAGAATTTGTGTTCTTGTGGTTTCATCCTGTATTTTATTCGTATTGATTCAACATACATTTATACTGGTTCTGCTGTGGCAGATATTTGTCCCTATCCACAAGGAGATCCATTGGTGCTTGGCAGTTATTAATAAGAAAGAACAGAAGTTCCAGTATCTTGATTCTCTTAGAGGGGGGGATACACGAGCACTTAAAGCATTGGTATGGTATATGTGAATATATGTTTGATAGAAGGTTCATTGGTATTGTTTACTTCTACTAAAGATTCACTTAATTTTTTTTTAAGAAGAATACAAGTAGAGTTCACCTGCTCACATGCATTCAGTTAATTGACTTAAAAGTGTGTTCTGTAGCTTTGGCTGTCAGATAATTGGTCCTCCAATCTGGTTATAATATCTTTTATTTGTTAGTTTGGATAATGTTTCTTTTTGGCTTCCTCTCTCTCTTTTTTCATTATTTGTGGTCAACCCTCTATCTGTAGATTTGCGTGCTTCCTATTGGAGTTAGGATTTCAAGATGTCTAGGGAAGCTTTTAATAAGCATACGAATATTCTTTTCTTTTTGGATGCACAAGATTTAAACCTGCATTCCCTTTCGAATTCTCACCCTCTTTTGACGTCCCTTGGTTTAATTTTAGTAACTAGATTCATTATTTTCTTAACCAAGTCCCAAGATCCCAAAGTTGTCCTTCTAAATTCTGTCATGTGTCAACTGTAAAATGGTAGCAAGATTTCTGGAACAAGAACTCTTCGAATTTTTGTTGACCGTCTATTGATACATTCTTACAATTTTAGTATAGCATAAGTACATGATTTGTTTCCATACTATTAGTTTTATTCAAATTGGCTGCAGAGGTGGCCACGTGGCAAAGTTTTTTTCTTAAGACAATTGCATGGCTGCAGCGTGGCATGTAATATATAATGTATTTTATTTCTTAAAATAATATTTAGATTAAGAAAGATAGAAAATAAAAATATAATTATTCTCTTCCTTTTTCTTTTTCACCCATTTTCTCTTATTTTCCCTCTCCTCAAACACAAAAATAATGACATCAAATTACAAAGAAAACAAAATTCTTTTGGAATCAAACATCATGCATTCTAGTGTACTCAAATCAACATTTCAGTTTAATACAGATCGAAATAAATAAATAAATAAATATATATATATATATAGCAAGTATCCAAATAGTTTAATTTACAAATCAAAATCAATACTTATTTTGCAACTACCCATAACTGAAGCCGCCCCCACCCACGCTCCCACACTGAACTTTTCTTCTCCTTTTAGTTCTTTCTTGCTTTACTTTCAAAACCTGACCTCTTCCCTCCTCTTTACCCACCCTCAACCCAGAGAAGAAGAAAAAGATGCCTAAAGTTGAGCTCCCTCCCTTAAATCAACTTCCAAAAGCTTATCCAAGAATCCAAAGCCTCACTCTTGCCACCACCCTACAAACCGTAATCTCCATCTTTCGAACCTCTATGCTGTTCGTTTCAGCTGATTCTTGCAAACCAAAATGTTTTAATCCAAGTTTCTGCCCTTTGACGCCCTAAACTTTGGTTTGCCACTAGCCACTATAATAGAGGCCATTGTTGGTTTTTTTTCCCCTGAAATAAACAGAGCAAAAATGTCATTAACATCATCACCAAAGGAGGACCAAGCCCGTATACAAAATATTTATATACCTACCAATAAGCAATGAGGTTTCCTAAACCCTCCATAGAGTACAGAGGATGACACAATAAAAAAAATGCAAGGGTTTGGGATTATCTATTAAAATAAGTCAAAACCATTATCATCATTTATCCTTTCAAGAGCTTTTATTTTTCTCTCCTTACAAACCATCTAAAAAACCAGAATAAGATCCTCATGTTTCCTCCGCCTGTTGAGATCCTTCCATGTCCATAACTCATCTCTAGCCGATCCTGCCATCACCCACTTCGCACCTAATAAACCATAAATTATAGTCCATAGCTTGTGCACATCCGGACAGTATAGAAATAAATGGTTACAAGTCTCCGCAACCCTTTCACAGAAATAACATCCGTTTACCTTAATCTTACCCCATTTTATCAATTTATCAATAGTCAAAATGCACTCCCTACTGATGTCCCAAGCTAAAAAAAGACCCTCTAGGAGGGGCTTTAACCTTTCAGGTTTGTCTAACCGGAAATCTGATATCATTATCTTCTTGCTTGGGCAAAGGCTTGTAGAAAGATTTGACCAAAAGAGATCCATTTGTAGTGAGACACCACACGGCACTATTTTTGCTTCCATCTGAGGAGGTAGGAGATAGTGTGCTGGGAAGTTTCTCATACTAATTGATCTCCCAGTCATTGAGGCCATTGCTGGTCTTGAACCGGGTGCAATTCAAGGTCGTCCTCTTCCTGCTCCTCTAACTTGGCCATCTTCGAGATACCCTGTTTCTCTCTCCTATCCCCCGCTATGGTCGAGCTAAAGCAGCTCTCTCCTCTCCTCTCACCTATTGTCATGTTAAAAGAGCAAAGAATAGGGTATTTAGGGTTTGGTTGAGATGTGAAAATGGAGATAAAGTGGAAGGTTATTGGGGTTTGCCATGCGGATAAATTTGGTCGGGATCTGAATCATCTATGTCTTGGTTTTTGGGTCATGAAAATAGCAACTCTAGAAAATATCAATGTTATTGTTGATGATCTTGACAAAGAAGAAGAAGAAGAGCATTGCTGTGATGTAGTTCTTGGAGCTCTGGTGTTGGAGCAAATTGCAGCGGATGTGATGATGAGGAAGAGGAGGAAGAAGATTAGTGGAGGATTAAGATGCGCACGAGATAATATCATCATCATCATCCTTTGTCTTAGTGGATTATAGCGTGGGTGAGGTCAAGCAAAAAGAAAAATTATGTTATTTTTATTAATAAGATTTCATTTTATAAAAAATAAAAAATGTATTATATATTATATGCCATGTGGCTACGATGCGGGCATATTTTGGCCAACAAATTGAGCTACATGACCACGTCATTGACCACACGACACTAATGCACATAGTCTAAGATGATTAACGAAGAGGGGTTGAATTTTTGAAAGTACAGGAACAATTTGAACACAAAAATATTATATAGGCCGATATGAACCAAATTTAATAGTGGGGGGACGAATCATATATTTATACCATTTTATTTTGTTTTGAAATAAAAAATGTGTTGTGTATTAGTTACCAGAATTAGAGAGAGATGGAAGAAGGCACTGACAGAATTAGAGCAAGATGGTCCTAAGCTCTTGGTGTGTTGATTATGAAACAAAACTTGTATTCTTTTAAAAATTTTGGTGACTTAATTGATATGCTAACTGAAATGTAAATTTTTTTGAAAATGGATTTTGGTACTCCCTTGGTGCTTGTAAGTAATACATATGTCATGGCTTTTATTTTCTTTAAAAAAAGACATTGGAATAAGCTCCAAATATTTTTTCCTTCTCGTTATACTCTTCCAAGTATTTATGCCATTTTATTATTATCATTATTGTGTAAGTGAAGATTTAAGAGACCCATTTTGCTACCAGTTTGCTTGCTGGCATCTTTCTGTTGCACTATGTTGCCAATTTTGGCACCAGGGACTTTTTCTCTCTTTTGCCTTCACAATGGCTTCAAGTTCTTGAATTGGATCTATGGTTTTTGGGCTGCTGGGTTTGAATTGGGTCATGGCTGGGAATGTAAGTTGGGAACTGTGGGCTTGGGCAGGTTATTGTAAAAAGAAAAAGTACTTTTTCTTTATTCCACTCACCATTTTTTGGATGTGTTGGAGGAAAGAAATGCGAGTGCTTTTTAGGGTATTGAATCTAATTTTGTAAACATTAGGGATAGATGGTTTCATATTTTTATATCTATCTTGTTAAATCATGATGTTCATGATTGGGAAGACATTGGCTTAGTTATTGACCGCTTGGTAGATATGTAACTATTTTGTATACAGGCGGTACCCTCTTGGTACCTTTGTGAATAGTATTTCTCATTTTTATTTCAAAAAAAAAAAAAATTCTTGAAGTTGGCTACACTTAAGGATTGCCATTGTCTTGGTAGAAAGAAGGTAGAGCATTGAATAATCTTGCACGCATGAAGTCCTGATCTTTCCTCAACTGTTGCATATCTAATAGTATTGATACTTTAGTCTGATTTTCTTTGTGGTTAAGGGGAGTGATCCCTTTGTTACTAGGGAATAGAATCTGTGATAAAAATTTTATCACTAAGTGGGGAGTAGCAACCACTGATGCAAGGCTAGTGGTTCCCTGTGGTTTAAGCTTTTTTTTTTTTTCATATAACATGAAATAAATATTTCGTCAACCTGAATTTATTTGAAAGCATGCTAATACCTAATGTTTTATAAACTTCTGAAAAGCACCTAATCAAACTATATGAAATAGTAAAAATTTAGCTAATGTTTACATTGATATGTGCCAGAAAAAATACTTGATAGAAGAAGTGAAGGACAAGAGTGGAAAAGATATTGATTTAAGTTCGTGGACACAAGAAATTGTTGAAGACCTTCCTGAGCAGGAGAACGGGTGTGTATTTGTATATCTTTTTTCAATCATTCTCTTTCAGGGAGCAATAATCAATTGGTGCATTTTCTTTTTTGAACTTATTACTAAGTCATGAAGTTCATATCAGACTTTCTATCTGCTCATTTCTTAATCAATAAGTACTTGATAGTTCTATATGATGAATAAATAAGTAGCTTAACGGTTGTGAAACCTGACTTTGTCTAGAATCTGATGGATTTTATAAAGACAGGAGTGTCGAGAGTTCAGCTATAGCAGAGCTGTTGTGGAATGTCTCAAGTTCTGAACATATTCAATCTTAAAATACCCAGAATATTTCTCTCTACTTGTGCATTTCCTTTTCTTTTTATGATTGGGAGTCTTTTTGATTTTAGTAAATGAGAGTAAATAAGGTAAGGGTTGATGATGATATTGTTCAGTAGTTTTTAAGGGAAACAAACGAAAAATAAAGTAGGAGTTTGTTGAAATTCTATAACGCTCTTTAACCTCAACTATCCAATCTTTTCTAAATCAGAGAATAAAGAGCTCATAATATAGTCAACCTTATATTTCTGGTAAAGGTACCTAACTACCCATTATTTTTCTAATTATAACATTTTTTGTTATGAAATAATATCTTTTTCATATTTTGTAACTCATACCTTTACCCCTCGGTCAAAGGTGAATTTGAAACTTTGTTATAATTAACTCAAACAAAATTCTAGTTTACTTTCTTCATTAAATCCCCAGAGACAATGTAACAGTTGATTGAAATCCTTTTTTCTGCTTTAAAAAAAAATCCTTCTTTACTTTCACTGAACTCCCAAACACTTGTAGGAGTTGAAGCTTAACCTACCTAGTGGAGGTGAGAAATTAACAAATGGATTGTATTGTCCTTCATCTGATTCGTCTAGCTATTAATAGGGCTATGTTACATGCAAATGCTTGATTTTACTTCTTTTAACTTTTGTGTGAACTTTGATAAGACTAAAGAATATTTTACCATTTGTTTCATCTTTTGTTTAATTTGTAGTCAATTCCTAAATCTATAGTTTTTGTCTTAATAATGTGCATTCTTATAAGATGGTTTTCTCAGTTGTAAGTTATCCCAACCCTAACTTGAATTAGTTGAATGTGGGAATTTACTTCCTAACTTTTGGGATGGAGGTCAAATTCATATATTTCACTCCCACCTCCCTGGATCACGATTTTGATCCCATGACATGGTTCACTATTCTTTTATGGTCTTGATTTGTCCAGAATGCAATCCGATTCCCCAATCTTGAGTATCTAACCTTTTTAAAAACAAAAAAGGAAACATATTAGATAAAGGAAAAAAGTGAACAAAAATGAAACACATTAAAACCAATGCAAAACTAAGAAGCAAAACATAATCAATCCAAAATAATGACCCAATCCATTTGAATAGTCAAGAGAGGGATTCACCAGAAGCCATGCAATTTACCCCGGGGAAACTTAGGTACATTATCCTAATGTAACTATAAAATCTATTGAAAAAAAATCATTGGAGTAGATTTTTTGTTATTTTGATGTTGAGGAAGATGAGATTCTTTTCTTCTCTTGTTCCAAAACAGTAGATGTAATTAAAACCTTTTTAGGGAAGAAGGAAAAGACTAAATAAAATTAGTGAAAATGCTCAACTTGCAAAATACTTTTACAAATCATAGTTTTTTTTCCCTTTCAAAGCAGTAGATGTAATTAATACCTTTTCAGGAAAGAGGGTAAATAGAAAAAATAAAATTAACCAAAATGCTAAATATACAAAAGACTTGTACAAACTACGGTTACCTGGAACATAAATATCTAGATTGTGGTATGACAATATGGGCACAAGCATTGTAGATACTAAATTTAGGTTTGAAGGAGTGTAGGCTTAGTTAGTATCATATTTTGATTCAAATTGTCCGTAGCCATGTATTTGGTTCATCATTTGGATAATAAGTAACCATTTAGTAATCCATTCTGCTAATTGATTCTTGTTCTTTTTCTATTAGAAAATCTAGGATTCAAATCCTTTTTATAGCTGCAACAAGATTTTTTTTTTTGAAATAAAAAAAGTTTTATTAAAAGATTGGTACCAAGGGGGTACCATCCAGTTACGCAGCATTACATCTCTATCAAATGATCTAACACATTTCTAAATTAATCTATATCATAAATATCATGGCCCAACAGTAGAGAACCAAAAGAGTGTATCCATTTGTTCATAATGCGATTAAAATCCTTTTTAATTCCTTCGAAAGCTCTTGAATTTCTCTCTTTTCATACTACCCAAAAGACCGATCATGGAATGAGCATAAAATTGTTTTTCTTTTTGCATAAACCTGTCCATGCCCATATTTCAGTTTTCACGGAGCCAGCTATTACCCAATTTATTCCCAAAAGTCCGTAGATCATTGTCCATAATTTGTAAGTCAGTGGACATCCAAGCAACAAATGGTTACATGATTCCTCGTTAGCTTTGCACATGAATGGTTAGTATACATTAACCATTAGTATACATTAGTATACATAGCTGCAACAAGAATATCAGTACTCATGTTACAAGTTCCTAAAGAATGGAGTTTATGTATTACAAGTTTGTTAAATAAGATGTTTAATACATTTTAAGCTCCAAGACATTAGACATTTTTTGATGGATTCTATTACTTGGATACCTACCTCTTTGATTTTACTTGTCTGGTAGTATCGAATTTGATAGAAAATTTGCTAGATTATACACTTTTCACTCTCTCTTTCTGTAACTTTTCCTCTCACTATCTTGGGAAAATCTTCTCTACGAAGTTGCCCCAATTCTTCCTAATTACCGGTCCTAATTTGGGGGATCTGGATCAAGAACTAAAATGAGCCAAACGAACCTGTGCCAGGAACCAATTCAAAAAATTTGGTCAGTAGATTCACAAGGGGTTTGAGCAATCTTGGTAACTACGGTACAAAACTAATGTGGTGGCTGATATGATAAGGAAAAAAATTACGGAGTTTAACTAATGTGGACTGTCTACCTATACTCCACATCTGTTTGTAAGTGACTTTTTGTAAAAATGTTTGCAGCATTACTCTAAAATTATTTAGTTTCCTTAGCAATAAATTTTATTAGGAAGGAGCAGAATGAGTGGCACGGTAGAGAATAAAGAAATTATGAGTCTGCATGCCCATTTCTTTCTAGTTAAAAAATTATTAAAATAATTGAGGGAAATTCTGAAGTAACTTTGTCTATGTTAGTTACCATTTTGGCTATCATTGGCTAACATTTTGGCTATCTTTTGTTACCATCAACCGTCAATTTGGTAGACATCGGTATGGTAACAACTGATAACTAAGATGGTAGCAAGTGAGAACTAAAATGGTAATGACACATAGCTAATTGGTAACCGTTAATAGCCAAAAATCACGAGGAATCTCTACCCCCAAATAGGCATAGGTGCTATAGAAAAGCCCATAATCTGCATATACCAAAAACAGCCCAAGTGAAATAAGAATAGCTCTAGTATAGGTTTTGAAGTCTATTGTTCTTTTTTTTTTCCAAAAGTTCAAGCTTATTTTTATATATGGAATGTCAATGAAAACGTAAAGAGAGTTGTTATAAGACCAAGAGCAGTTGAAGTGAAAATAAAGATATCTATAGTATAAGCTTGTGAAGTCTATCATTATCTACGGAATACCAACTAAAATATAATAGAGTTGTTATAGTACAAAAACAATATAAAGAATTAAAAACCAAAGAGGAAAAGATTTATTAAAATAGCAAAGTCATAACTGCTAATCGACCTAACTGTGATTCTCTACGTAATGTTACCCAAAACAATTAATTGATTGCATCTATTCCTCTTCCTACCCTAAATTAGCTTCTTATCGTACCTCATTTCTGTCCCTGTACCACTAGCAACCTCTATTTATCCCGTTCTTGGTAACTATGGTTTGACTTTGGGATATTAGCACCACATGCTATACTTTTATTAAAAAAATGGTTTAAATGTGGGGCAGGATAACTCTATAAAAAATTTATTGTAATTATGCATATCAATACTAATTTGAGTATTAGAAATACGAATTAATTAGGAATTGAATAAAAAGTGAAATTTGCTGTTACTGAATTTAGATAAGAACATAATAAATAGATATAATTTTACCATTAGGAATCCTTAATGTTTTGTTAATTTTATAGTTTTTTTTAAATAAAAATATAATACATTTAGAAGTACCAATAGGATGCAAACCCTTAAACCAATCTAGCAAGATGTTAATTAGCTTCCCCAAATCAATGTTAGAATATAGCGGATGACCCCTTAACAAAATTCTCAGGGTCTGGAACCAAAAATCCTTGAATCTATTAAAATTATATTCTATCCCCTCTCTTTCCAAAAAGGGATAAGTCTTAGTCTCTTATCACCTGAGATGCCTCTCCATGTCTGTAACTCCTCGCTTACCAACCATTAGTATACCCATATCTCCTCCCCCTTATATTTTTTACGCCCATGGCTACTATCTCTTCCAATGTGGCTAGGAGATTGGAAAGAATCCCATGCAGTTTCCTACAGGGTGATTCAGTAGGGAGAAGAAAATTCCACCTTGTGGCTTGGGACAAGGTTAAGCAATCATTACAATGTGGAGGTCTGGGCTTGAGATTGTGGTGCATTTCAACAGAGCACTTCAGGAAAGTTGGTTATGGAGGTTTTGTGAGGGAGGAGGGGATCTTTGGAGGAGACTGTTATGGCCTAAATACAGCAAAGATGGTGGTTGTCGGTTCATAATTTTCTTAGGGTTTTCTTGGGGTTGGGTTTTGGAAGAAAATAGTCATGGAGAAAGGGAACTTTCAGGAGTGTGTTAAATGGAGACTGGGGTTGGGGGATAGGGTTAGTTTTGGAAGGATGAGAGGGTGGAGGGGGGGAGCTTCGGTTCATCAAATTTCCTTGTACTTTGCCCTAGCTCACTTCAAGGATGTGACCATTAAAGAAGTCTGTTTGTGGCTCTGACAGGAGCGAGGGTCATCAGTCGCGTTGGTAGGGAATCTAAATGACTGGGAGATCCATGAGGATCTGGGCCTGTTGAGGCATTTCTGAGAGATAAGTGTCACAAGCCCACATAGATGAGCCTATCTAGAAACTGAACTCTTCCAACACTTTCTTAGTAAAATCAT